CAATCTATGTTTTTAAGAAACAACATGATAGCCTTAGGTTATCATTTGTTGTAAAAGAAGCCTGAAGTTGAATTAACCCCTCTTAATCATAGGTGCTCAGGGGCATTTGGTGGTTTTGTTTATGTTTTCCCATGAATAGACAGGCCACAGTACGGTCTCTCTTTCCAAACCAACCACAGTCTGCCCATGCCTTGCAGGATCATGTGATTCGAGAGGAAGCGCGAAGCCTGACCCTGAGGCAGTGTGCCATCATGGAGGTAGCACTGGCTACTATAAAGGTACAGCTTTGTGTCTTCTTCTGTCCTGTGCTGGACCGACCAAGAACTGTTTCCATAGGCAACAGATCCTGATCCACAATGAACCCTCAGGATCATAAAGATCCCTCTAACATCTCAGTAACCATTGGATCCTCAGCTTCCTGTATTAACTTGAAAGCAAATGTCTAACAGTCGACTTGCAGAAAAGTTAGAAAAATTGTTCTACCTGCTTCAGACAGAACATGTTTCCTTAAAGGAACTGGTGGCCAAAGCTGATCTGATTCTCGCGTCCCTTTACAATTTAGAGTTCGTGCAGCTGAAGCAGCTGGTCTAAACCCTTCGGATGTTGCAGCATAGCCTGTTTTCTCCCACTGAGCCTGAAAAGTCTGGTTATTCCTGCACACATGTATGACAAGTTGTTTTATAGCATGCCAGAAAATAAGACTTTTAATACTGTGCATTACTGTGCACAATTTTAAATTCATTGTCCAGTTGAATTTATCAGCTTTTTACAGTTTGGAATCCACCATCTAATCTACTGACACTCCTGAATAATTGGATTTAATTTAAAGATGCCATTTAATTCTATGCATTGGTCCCTTTTCAGTGAAAACAAAAAAAGCATATTCGTTACACACCTGTTAAAAACACTTCTGAATAAATTAATTTTTATATGTTACCAACATCTTATTGATGCAGATGTTGGTAATGCATAAAACCACTTCAGAAAAATCTTAGCATTGCAGTAAATGTTTTACATTAGATTTTTAAAGAGTCATATCGGAGACAATCCATCCAACGTTGCCTGGTGCTAATCTTGTTACTAGAAATACAAAACCATATTTGTTTTTCATTTTAGCAATACTTCCACGCTGGAGGAAGTGGGCTGAAAAAGAACTTCCTGGAAAAGAGCCCGGATCTACGGTCCCTGAGATACGCGCTCAGCCTTTACACGCAGACTACTGACGCCTTGATAAAGAAGTTTATAGACACGCAGACCTCTCAAAGTAAGTGATCTGTAAGAGAGATGAAAGTACTTAAATTATATTTTAAATGTTTTAAACGATTGGGGGCCAATTGCATTCTCCAAATGCTGGGGTTTCTTAGAGTTTATTGTCACAAATTTGTGGACGTTGCGTTACCCCATCTCCGTGCTGTTGTCAGTAAATGGTCCCTGTCTGAGGGCAGCGCACTTATCACATTGTCACTTTACATGAAGAACGGGTCCCACAGCTCTATATGAACACTGGGTGTCATCAGGGGTATTTATAGGAGCGTTTCACACACAAACAGGGCTGTAGAGCCCATACCAGACTGCATATTATAACTGCAGATACAGAGCAGCTCTGGCAGCTCTAGATACTTTCAAAGCTGAAGGATATTAATTACTAATACAAATAACTGCAAAAAGCATGACATGTCCCTTAAGGTTTCTTTTACGATTAAGAACAATAATTGGTGAGTAACATGTCCTTAATGTAGCACACTGATTCCACATCATAGAACCCACACTTCTCCTTCGAGCAGTTCATCTGTGGATTCAAAAGGAGTAGAATGTTTCTGTAGGCTAAAATACAGCATTATTTTCCCTGTCTAGATTTTTTTTTTTTTTTGTGCATTTCAGAAATCGTGCTGAAAATGCCACATCGTTTTTTATGCCCACTTGTCAAAGTTCAACATTTTTATACTTCCTCAAAAGCAAACCAAGGCAGAGAACATGCAAGAATATGATATGAGGTGTGCTTTGAGTCCGGAAATCCGCAACACTGAAGGCACTTTTTCCTGCTCTAGAATTTTGGTGTAGTGCACCAAAAAAGTTGAAACACACAGTCATCTTCATTTGAAGTATATATACCATTCATTAAAGGTGCAGTCCAGGAAAGGACTTTCCATGGTTTTAATAAGAGGGTAAGAGTTCAGGGTTATACTTTTAGGCAAAGTTTCCTTGTATTTTCAAAATGAAGCTATTTCTTATTGATCTAGGACAGTGTTGTCATACTTCTACATTACACACAGGAACTGCTTTTATATAGCTAATGTGCATTATATTCCAACCTGAATGATGTCTTCATCTTTGAAACTGCAAATTTTTGCGTAACAGTAATCTTTACCAGATTTCTTCTGAATGTAACAGTCATTGGCAGACATAGCCTGTCTGCCACTTAATATCTCTGTGAAAGAACACAATTTGCTGATCTGTAAAGAATTACCCTGCTCCCAGTCATGGGAATCAGAGAAGCTTTAATTGGACAGTTAACCTGGAAATCAATTGCTTTTACTTGTGAAGTACAGTCTGTTACTCATAGTATAAAAAGCACGAGACATTAGTTCTGCAGCTTGCCCCAAGACTAATTCCAAGGAGCGTTTTCCTTGGCAGCTTCCATATTAGACTGAGGATCTCTGTTAATAATTGATACATTACAAGCGAGAAAATTGCCATAAAACTCTAATACATAAGGCATAGATTCTTTCTCCACCCCTCTCAAAAATTATTAACAATATGGATTTTGGCAGAAAATTATTAATTATGAAGATATTTTGCTTTTCCTTATGCATACTTTCATTGTAACTTCAGGAGAAAAAATGAGCCAGGCAGCAGCCATGAGCAGAGTTCCTTTATAAATCCTGAACCACAAACATGAATTTTCTGATTTTCATCCTTTCAGCCTGAGGTCTATGTTCATCTCTACGCACACGTTAGCATGCCTATATTTGCACACCAGTATTAGCAGAAGTGTAGCCACTGGGAGTGAAAGCTCAGGAAAAGTGACTCACAGCTTTTCATCATCCTTTAGAGTCTCATTTAAAAGAACTAAAACCCCTCATCTATTACAACCTCCAGCTGTAGCTGTATCATTAGCATTTAGGTAAAATGACCCTGTTTGCAAATCAAAAACTTTCTCTGAAGTCTAGTTAGATTTCTGTCGGCTCTCATACTAGTGCAGGTAACCAACCCATTGTCAATAGACAGTGGAATGTAATTAAACTCAAAGCAGTGAAAAATCTAAAGAAAACAGCATATTGAATAACAACTATGACTGCAGATAAAAGCAGATGCTCAGTTTTCCTGTAAAGACTACTAGAATCGGACAATGGTCAGAGTTGGTTTTAACCACAGGTGAAGTCAATTTTTCATTTGCCATGATTAAACTGCAGGGTTTCCAAGAAACTGAAGGGCAGAAATTTGTTTGGTTGGTGTGTGGAGGGGGAGTTACATTTCCTCCCCTAGAAAGCATAATAGTTATGTAAAAATATACCTTATGGTCCTTGGTACTTCCTGTATTGATATACGTGTACAGTCAAATCCAGTAAGAATAACCAAATTGTCCAAGAATATGCTTTTGCACCATTTCTAAACATGGATGATTGCTCGAACCAGAGTTTTGCTTCCTAGTGTTTGTTTCTTTACATTCCTAAAGAGCTTTCTGGAAACAAAGCAATTTGCACAGGCAATATTAATAAAAATATTCCTAACTGTTAAAGTTACGACAGTCTCCGGGATTCATAGTTTTTCATGTGGTGCTTTCAATACACTAAACACCTGAAAGCTAAACTCTTATTGCCATTTTCAAATACGTCAGGAGACTGTACTGTTATGAAAATATGCTTTAAAGGTAAATTATCACACAGTCAGGACCAGTGAAGTTAACTGCCTTAGCCTTACTCTGGTGATTTCTCCTTTCAAAGCACTGCTACAGATCCCAAGACTGTTTTTGAAACAAGCAAATGTTTGAACAAGTAAATGGCAATGCTGAACATAAACCCCCAGTAACTTTTGGAATAACTGACAACATTCCTTTTTCTCTTTTGCTGTTTTTTTTTTTCCTCCATATAATCATTTGCCATTTAAAAGAAATATGCTGATGAAAGTTGTACATTCCATTCTCACTCAGCATTGTGAAAACAAACCGGTAACCACACCATAGAAATGGAAGAAAAAAGAACAATATTGTGTGCACCAGCTTTATGTATTAGACATTACAGCTACCAGATTAGCATACTAAATGACATAGCCAAAGGTCTGTCATGTGCTACCATGTTAAACACCTGTCGTTCTGCCTGGCCCGGGAGGAGAGAGAGGTTTCTCTTCTCCCCTTACATCCCCTGCTGCTGTCCCAGACCTGCTATTATGCCCTTTCAGCTTGTCTGGCAATTAAATTCTGCTGAGACTGATCCTCACAGATTTTAACATTGGTATCAATACGATAGTAATGGGGAAGATTATCTGTGTTTTTCCTTAGTATAAAACAAGGAATTTTATTTCAAGAAAAATAAGCAAAGCCTGCCAGTATTTGATCTATTTTAATCCCAACTCACAAATGTAAAACTTAGAGCAGCATTCTCTTTCGCAAATGACTTATCAGTGTTTGGTAGGAAAACTTTTACAATGTTATATACAATGAATTATAAACTGCTAACAAAGTTTAGTTCCACTTAGCTGAAGTTCACGTTTAGTATTAACCAGAAGTTGTTCAGGCGATTCTGCAGTGCCTGCTGTGAGCACATTCTTCTGGATCACTGTGCTCTTTTTACTCAGCTCTACACTAGTGCTAGCGCTGCCAAGAACCATTTTGTGGAGCAGGTTGCTTTTAGCATCTCTAAAATGGACATGGATATAGGCCTGAAGGATTTTGAAAAACCTGAGGGCAGTTTAGTGAAGAGAGCTGCACATCAAAGCCTGAGTGACCGGTGCTTTACACGCTGAATGGTTATTGATACCTCTGCAAAGAGCACAAAAAAACCACAGCCAGGTGAGAATCCCGTACATCAGTGCGCCATTACCAAGCACATCCCCTGCGGTTCAGATCTCTGATTGATTCTGTTTCCTTTGGACTTTTGTAGCTGTAAATGGTCACTTTCAGACCATACAGCACTACTAATAATGTACATTAGATTGTGCTGTAAGAGTGAATTTTTTTTTCCTCCTCTAAATTCAGCTGCAGGATAGTATTTTTGCGTAAATTCAGACTTTAACATGGATTGTTTTCAACATCTTTGTGACCAAACAGTTGTTTGTGCACACTACACTGGCACCACGCCTGGATCAGTTGCAAAATAGGAGCACTTTGCCCAGCCTGACCTAAAGCCCTACTCAGCCGCACGGGCTCGGGGGTTCAGTGCCGTATGGCTACAACACACCCTGGCTACTCGTAGCTGGATGGCAGCCTGCAAGCCAGCACACAGTATCAGCAAGAAAAGCTCAAAGATTTCTGCAAAAGTATTTGTACATTGATGTACATTGACAATTTATACAAGTTGTCAACATACAACAACTCTAGACAAAAAGGTCAAATTTCAGTGCAGGCAGGACAACATAATTTTAACCAAGCTTGAGCTAAATTCAACCACATTTTTGCAATCAAGACAAAACTATAAAAGCCAAAGGACAAATTCTTACTGTATTTCTATATTTCAAAAGAGAAGTAACAGACTTCAACACTGAAGCAAAACTACATCCATATCTATTGGACTATTGTATAATCTTTCCTACTTTTGGTATATTTGACTTACTGTTACTCAAAGCTCAGACCAATGATGCTTCTCAAAATTTATTCCCCCAAAAAAGAGAGAATTTTCAGCTTGGTAGTCACTCTTTTATTGAATTAATTTATACTTTCACCTTTTAGACTACTTAATTTAAAGGATATCAAAATTAAAAGGAGATCTATGGCTGTGTTTTAGTCTAGCGACTGTCTTAATTCTCAGTGATTTTATAAACTATATCCTGTGTTGTGAATGTTTCCATTTGGTTAGCATCAACTCTAATGACATTTGGACAAATATTATTTTAGTTTTAGCAAACTACATAAAAAAAAACATTACAGTGTCCTGAATTGCTCTCATTTATTAACACTAATTTCTCCAAAGCAAATACCACTCTTGCATCTAAAATAGTTACTTATTGGAAATAGCCAGAGAAATATTTTTTCTTAAAATTTACAGCAGCTTAGTTTTATAACCCTCATTAGAGAACGCTGCTGTTACTGTAAGGTATACAACATAGCAA